CCTTCCCATCTTACTTTCACTTTCCCTTTGCTTTCTCTCCCTCCCTCCCTCTCCGTTTCCTTCCTTCCTTCCTCTTTCCTTCCTCTTTCCCTTTCTTTCCCTTTCTCTTTAATCCTTGCTCCCTCCTTTCCCTCTTACTTTCACGTTCACTTTCCCTTTGCTTTCTTCCTCCCTTTCCTTTCTCCCCCTCTCCTTTTCTTTCCTTCCCCCTTTCCCTTCCCCCTTTCTTTTGCCTTCCCTTCCTCTCCCTCTCTTTTCCTTCCTTTCTTCTTTCCTTTCCCCTTTGCCTTTCCCTTTTCTTTAGCCTTCCTCTCCCTCTCTTTTCCTTCCTTCCTTCCTTCCTCCCTCCATCCATCCCTTTTTCTTTCCCCTTTCCCTTTCTCCTTTCTTTCCCCTTCCCTTCCCTTCTTCTTTTCCTTCCCTACAACAATCCTACGAGGTAGGCTGAGCCAAGGAAAATGTCACCGGCCCCAATCCCCAGAAGCACCCATCCTTCCTCCTCCGGCCCCTCTGCCTTACCTCTGGCCACGATCTCCCCCACCAGATGGTAGCGCACCAAGTCGAACAGCCAGTAGACCGAGAAGTCTGCCACGATGAGGAGAATCACCAGGATAAACTGGCGGCAGATGCGCGCCAGGGCCAGAGCGTAGGCGATCTGCTCCTTGCGCGGCAACACCAGGGAAGCTGTGGACGAACGAGGCACAATAAAACACCCCTTGGAAAACACTGGGAAAACGAGAGAAGAGAAAGAAGAGAAGAAAAGAGAAGAGAAAGAAGAGAAGAGAAAGAAGAGAAAGAGGAGAAGGGAAGAGAAGCAGTGATGGAATTTATCCGGTTTGTACCGGTTTAAGAGAACTGGTTGTTAACTTCCTGAGCATCAGAGGAGGATGCAAGATAGATTGACATTAAAAATAAAGAAGAGATGAGAAGGGAAGAGAAATAAGAAGAGAAGAAAGAAGAGAAGAAAAGAGAAGAGAAACAAGAGAAGGGAAGAGAAGGTATAGAATAGAATAGGAATAGAAGAGAGGAGAAGAGAGAAGAGAAGAGAAAGAAGAGAAAGAAGAGAAAGAAGAGAAGAGAAAGAAGAGAAGGGAAGAGAAGGTATAGAATCGAATAGGAATAGAATAGAGTAGAACAGAGAAGAGAAGAGAAAGAAGAGAAAGAAAAGGAGAAGGGAAGAGAAGGTATAGAATTGAATAGGAATAGAATAGAGTAGAAAAGAGAAGAGAGAGAAGAGAAAGAAGAGAAGAAAAGAGAAGAGAAAGAAGAGAAAGAAGAGGAGAAGGGAAGAGAAGCTGTGGTGGAATTTATCCAGTTTGTACCGGTTTAAGAGAACTGGTTGTTAACTTCCTGAGCAGTTTGGTGAACTGGTTGTTGGAAGAAACCAGAGAACTGGGGGTTAAATGATTTGAATCCCACCACTCCTCCGTCGTGGCCAATGAGCCAAGGCCGACCTGTAGTTTGTGACCTCCACACACCCCCGAGACACAACCACAACCACGCCACACACACGCAACCCTGTACTTGGCCGGATGTATTTGGTGCTTTCCTTCGGCGATAAGGGCAGCACAGATGGGCGCTTGTTTTTCCTCCGCACAGCGTCCATTTCGAGAAAGGATTTGGTGATGTAGATGTTGTCGAAACTGTCCTCGTGCAGGTAATGTTTTCGGTACAGGAGAGCCCTGGAGAAGAAAAGAAATTCCTTGTCGGTGGGAAAGGAGACCCACAAAAATAGCAAGGTCACATTTCCTTTCGTCTTTCATCTCTGGAAACACATAGAATAACAGAGTTGGAAGGGGCACCTTGGAGGTTACCTAGTCCAACCCCCTGCTCGAGCAGAAGAGCCCGTTCCAAATATTAGCCTCTACCTAGGATCGAACTCACAGCCTTCTGATTTGTGACAGTGAGAACAACCAACCAAAGGGATCAGAAGTTGCCCTTGGAAGTTGTGGGAGCTTCATCCCAGAAGAGACTCGACTCCCATCTGTCAGGAATGGTGTAGGGTCTCCCGCTTGGGCGGGGGGTTGGACTAGATGACCTACAAGGTCCCTTCCAACTCTGTTATTCTGCCCTTCCCTGGCTCACCCCAGGTACATGTAGAGCATGACCAGAGTAGACATGTAGCCGAAGAGTCCCACCGCTTCCCGTGCCGGTTGTAGACGCTGGGACACTTCCTCCATGATGTCAAAGGCCACCTCCGACAGCTTCTTGCTGGCGTTGACGCTCACCTCGTACTGGTGGATGGTGGTGATGTTGAATTCGAACTCGGCCCGCACGCGATTGAGCATGGCCACGACGGCTTGGAGAGAGACAGAGAGAGTCAGAGAGAAAGAGAGAGAGAGACAGAGTCAGAGAGAGAGAACGGGATAGAGACAGAGAGAGAGAGAGAAAGAGACAGAGAGAGAAAGAGAGAGAGACAGAGACAGAGAGACAGAGAGAGAGAGAAAAGAGACAGAGAGAGAAAGAGAGAGATGGAGAGAGACAGAGAGAGAGAGAAAAGAGACAGAGAGAGAAAGAGAGAGATGGAGAGAGACAGAGAGAGAGAGAAAAGAGACAGAGAGAGAAAGAGAGAGACAGAGAGACAGAGACAGAGAGACAGAGACAGAGAAAAAAGAGACAGAGAGAGAAAGAGAGAGACGGAGAGAGAGGCAGAGATACACACACACAGAGAGACAGAAATGGAGAGAAAGAGACACAGAGAGAAACAGACAGAGAGATTGAGAGAGAGTTTGAAAAATTTCAGGAATGGCCGAGAAATCATTTCCAGAGCCACCTGCCCTCCCAGGTAGGAGCACCAGGTGGGTGGGGGCCTGTAAGTAGGGTGGGAGGGGCCTAAAGAGGGTGAAGACACATAGAAAGGGGGCAGAGCCAATCCTCTGGTGGGCTGGGATTTGGGGAGTGTTTGGTTGGCCTTTGCAAGACGCGGAATATTGAGACAGAAAGGAGGAAGAGGAGGAGGGCACGCTGGGCTTACGTTCTGCAACTCTGCGACGCAGGAACGGCACGATGTATTCAGGAATGATGCAGAAAACCAGAAGGACTGTGGAAGGAATGAGAAACACCTGAGGAGAGAACAGTTGGCATGGTCGGGGGGTGGATGGGAGTGAAGGCAGACCACCCAAATATAGTCACAATTCCCTGGGCTCAGCTGTTTTGTTGCAGACATTTCATTACCCATCATCAGTATACTCCTGAGTTGACCCTTGTTCCTTAACTGTTCCTTTCGTCTGGCAGCTCTGTGCATGAGCACACTGGGAACAGGCTCCAGCTGTTCTTCTTCCCCACTGATCTCCAACTCCGAAGGCAGCTGATAACTGTCGGACGGCCCTGGCCCCATCTCTGCCTCCGACGCCCTTGTCCGCACCTTCCCCAGACTCTAGGACTGGCCCATGTTCCTCCCCAACCTCCTCACTGTCCGACTCTGCCCCCCGCCACCTCTGCTAGCCGCCGGCGGGCCACAACACACGGAGGCCAGGATCTAGGAAGCGCGCTCACTGTTTGCCAATCCGCAGAGGTACTTGAAGAGGAGGACAACGTGGCAGAGAAAGGAAAGGAAAGGGATGGCCCGTTCACACTTGTCCTTGGCACTGTCGAAGATGCGGGCGCATTTCTGATACGGCCTGCCCATTTCTTCGTTGCAAATGTCGCCCATGTGGAGAAGGAAGTACCAAACGTTGCGCATGCAGTGAGCTGCAAGACAAAAGAAGTGGCGAATACAAATGAAGAATAAAGAGTTTAAAATATAAAATGGAATATTTCTGTTGGAAAGTACTGCCGTTGCTCCATTTCTTCTAATTGACCGATATTACTGGATTTAATGTAAGTCTGATACTGAACTGTTTTTGACACCGGGATTTGATATTTGGATTATCCCTGAATGAAAACTGACTGATTTTTACCTGTGAATGACTTTGGATTGCTTATTTTGGACTTTGCTTAAACCTTTCTGGAAGTAAAAACCTACATTTACTGTACAGTGTATCTGTGTGCTGTGTTTGTGTATTATTCAAACACTTCTCTCAAATGTGTCTCCCTATATGCGCTCATTCTCCTAACGGGGAATTACCTCAACACCTTTGCTCATTCCGACCTGGACCCCAGCAACGTGCTGGAGTCTTCCTTGCTGTATCCTCATGGGATGAAAATAACTACCTTTTCACACTAGGAAGACGACAGTGCCAAGATTGGACATTAGGTGAATCTCAACGTAACTGTGAGTTATACCTTGAGGAGCCCTGATATAATCCCATAAACAAACTTTGTCTGGAAGTCTTCGTAGTGTTTTAACTCCTTATCTCAGGTATTTTGAGAAGATAAATATCGCCTGAGACGAGACAGGGATTGTCGTCTCAAAGAAGCAGTTTGAAGAAAGGAGAAACGGCTGTTCAGAAATAATTTTTGGAAAGCCCTTATTTTTAACTTATAATTCTCCCTGCACTCACCGACATGCCGCACTGCATCCATGACAGACCGGAAAAGTTTACGGACACGGTCTCCGACCACTTTGGCTTTTCTGGCAATATCTTTGATTTTCTTTAAGGCATCTAGGCAGAAGGGGGGGGAGGGGGAAACAGGAGCTGAACACGCCTTCTGGGGACACCTCACTGTGCCAAGCCAAAGGCTGACCTGCAGATCGTCCCTGGGGGATAAAAGAGGTATTGGCTGGACATCTGCCCATCATGCCACAGGCTCTGTTTTCTGCAGTAGAGTTCCCCTAGCTCCCAGCAATTCTAGAATGGAATGGAATTCTAGATTCTAGATTCCATTTTATATTTTATACTCTTTATTCTTTATTGTTCTATATTCCACATTCTATATTTTACATTCTGTATTCTATTCTATATTCTACATTCTTATTGTATATTCTACATTCTATTCTACATTCTATTCTGTATTCTACATTCTATATTCTACGTTTTATTCCATACTATATTCTGTATTCTACATTCTATTCTATATTCTACGTTCTATTCTACATTTTATTCTATATTCTACATTCTATATTCTACATTTTATTCTACATTCTATTCTATATTCTACATTCTATATGCTACGTTTTATTCTACATTCTAGTCTCCATTCTCCATTCTATTCTATATTCTACATTCTATATTCTACATTCTACTCTATGTTCTACATTCTAT